GGACGGGAGGGCGGAGGAGGCTAACCTCTGTTTCAGGATTCATTTGCCTGAAAAATATGAAAATAAATAAATAACCACGTTTGATTTTGAAACTTTCAGGGACATTCTGTGGCTAAAAAGTGTGTTGATGAGAACACGACAGTGCCTTAAGTTTATATAACAACAGATCCACTGAATTTACCTTGCAGATGCGGCTTCATACGGTTGTATTCTGAGGCAAGGATTCGAGCGACACCTTGTAGCAACTAACCCCGAAACAACAAGTTGTCCCCGCACTCTCAATATTCACTTCCTGTTTAGCCTTTCACAATAAAACTGGAAACAACAAAACAGATTGTACCACACACACCATGCGTCCAACCTATCGACACAATCTGCGCGCACTGATTGCAGAAACTGAGCGCACAGATTAGTAATCCGTGCTCTCAGATTAGCAATCCGTGCGCACGGATTTCCGGCGGCTGTTTTTCGTTTTTCAACACTGACCTCCGGCGGGCTCCGTAGTATTGCTTTGTCTAACTGCTGCTATTTATCATCATCCTCATCACTTTATTGTCCCCTTAGGGAAATTATCCTTGCAGCAAGGTGAAGAAATACAAACAAATCACAGAAGACAACAATCACAATAATCATCATATGACCACATAAAAAAACACTTAAAACATTTCAATAAAAAGCAATATCAATAAAACAGGCTTAATGATGAAATTAAGCTCGATTACATTTAATATTCATCTCAACAATCATCTGGCTGATGAATGTTTTTCCATCTATTGGTTCTTGATTTAGGTTGCCTAAATCTTTTTCCAGATGGCAGGAGTTCAAATTCCCCATGAAGTGGGTGATTTGGAGAGTGGATAATGACTTCCGCCTTTTGTAGGTCTTTAAAAAGGTTTCTGTTAYATCAGGTAATCTAATTCCTATAATTTTGCTGGCCAATTTTACGGTTTGTTTTAGCCTGTTCTTGTCTCCTACTGTTAGACTGCCAAATCAGCTGATAAAAGCTAGGCATGGGTGGTCCATAACAAACACTGTGTTCGAGCATAGGTTGGTTCATAAGTGTATTTGGTACCAGGCCACGTTAAGGTTGACAAATTTTGTCATCAGATATGCAGCACTTTGTCTTGGACTTAATTGATCACCACCTGGTGATTGCTGGCAGGGGAAGCTGCCGGACAGACCTGGTAAACACAAACAAACAGTGAAATTCAAACTAGAATTTAAAATATTACTTCTAACATACAAAGCTCTCAACAACCAAGTTCCATCTTATATCAAAGATCTTATTGTTCCATACTTTCCTATCAGAGCACTTCGCTCTCAGGCTGCAGGTTTACTTCTGGTTCCTCGAGTTTCTAAAAGTAGAATGGGAGGCAGAGCTTTCAGTTATCAAGCTCCTCTCTTGTGGAACCAACTTCCAGTTTCTGTCCATGAGGCTGACACTCTGTCTACTTTTAAGATTAGACTGAAGACTTTCCTTTTTGATAAATCCTATAGTTAGACTTAGGTTTCCTGAGTTATTCTTGCTATAGGCTTAGACTGCTGGAGGACAAACCAAACACATTTCCTCTCACTGCTGCTATTTTTATTCACTCTCCTCTACATATTTGTTTTAATTACTTTTATAGATAACGTGTTTTCTTTGTCTATCTTCCAGAAGAAAATAAACCTGGACCAGTCCTGTATTTGTCTGTATCTCTTTCCTGTCCCCAAACCCAGCCGCCAGTTGAGGCAGATGGCCGCCTGTCCTGAGCCTTGTTCTGCTGGAGGTTTCTTCCTAATAAAAGGGAGTTTTTCCTCTCCACTGTCACCAATGTGCTGCTCAGCATGGAAGACTGTCACAAAGTGAAGATTCAACACAATCCGCTGGATTCTTTACATTTATTGTTTTTTTTATTTATTTATTTTTAATTCTGTACAGTGCCCTGTGACAACATTTGTTTTGACTTGGCACTATATGAATAAACTGAATTGACACTCTTTGTTTCTCTAAATATTTGTGTAAAAGTAAAAAATAACCATAAGGTTCTGGAAACCTATTTTCCTGGCATTAAGAGAGTAGTATACTAAAAGTATTTGTGGTTCGTCACAATCTTTAATAAGTATTATTGGAATTATGTGCAATCATAAAATCAGATTTAATAACTTAAATGATGTCATCAGACTGACAAAAAATAGAAACACATACGTGCAAATTCTGGTGTTTTTAAAGACTAAATAAGAAAATGACAAATACTATAATCACAACAAATACCAACAGAAGAAACACTTTTCCAAAGAAATTTATCAAACTCATGAGAGGTATCCAGGTG